CGTGCCACTCCAAATCCCCAAGGATCTGACTGAGGGATGGACACTGAACAGCGTACCGGGCAATGTTGCGACCAATTCACAAACCGCAAGGAACCCCCGAGGCTTCATAAACTCTTACCGTGGTAGCGGTGAGCTGGCTCTTTTTTCACAAAACAGCATTCGAACAGAGCCGGAGCCCAGTCAGCCTGAAAGCATGCCGGAACAACAGTCAAAAACCTACCTGGAGTCTCCATGACCCTTAACAAATGATTGGTCATTCCCCAGGAAACAGAATTCCTTGTTTTCCACATTGAATTCGCAGGCTGCAGTTCCCAATTTCCGGCCCTTCGCTCCCCCGACTGAACCAGCAAAGGCTCAGCTCTTCGTTTGGGTCCCACTGGCCTCCTTCAAATCCACGATGAATACACGTTGATTAGTTTTTAAGCGCCTCAAACGTAGCATTCCATTCCCAGATATAACACTAGCTGGGCTCGAAGCACATCGCTGACTGCATGAAGATCAACTTGTCGGCAGTGCAGAAGCTTCTAAACATTCATTTAAGCTCAACAAAAAAGGTATTGATCTCTGATTCATCCGGAAGACCGCTCAAAAATCACGAAAATGGAGCAACATCAACACAAAAGAGGGTTTGGTCCAGACTAGCGTGGACCGCCGGTCGAATCCGAAATCTGCGAAGGTCAAACCTAAGATTGTACCAAGATGCATAGACCTTCCTGGCGGTGTCTTTGTCTGTAAAATTCACAAAGGCCAGGTGAATGTTGGTCTGTGTCCGGCAGTGATGCGGAAGATAGATGAAGTCAAACTTGGACTGAGCGATGCGATGAAAAACATCCTGAGGCTTCGCGGAGGGGCGAGAGATGGGCAGCTTGTTTAAGAACGGGTCGGGTCGCCTTGACTATTTTTAGACAGGTGGGAGTGTCTCAAACTGGACGGGCAGCTTAAAAATGCGCGGAGATTTGTTGGTGTTCCTCTTCTTCTTCTTTTTTAAATAAAGCAAACCTAAAAGCAGACATGGGTGTGGGTCAAAATTAAACCACCAGGGACCGCAGGATTTAGTTTTCTTTCCCTCTACCAGGGCTCCATTTCGGCTACGTATTTTTGACCCACCCACATGAGGAGAGCCAATCCGCTTTGGGCAAGCGATGAAAGGTTAGCTGTTGGAGCTTCAGCCTGCCACTCGGACTGAAGCCCAAAGCTCAAGTGAAGAAACGAACCCGGCAGCTTGAGGAGCCTTCCTCCAGTAGCGAGGATAGAATAAGTTGGTACCCACGATTTTTGTGTTTGCCTATTTAAGTAGGTGAACCTTCCCAAAAGGGTACAATTTGGGGACCTAGAAGCTACCAGGAGCCTCAAAAACCGATGAAAATGTCATACCTACAAAAAACACGATGTTTTTTGGGAAAACACGATGTTTTCGGGAAACACCGCATTTTCGATTTCAAGCAGTTTCCCATACATTCCTTCAACTCGTCATCCGTTCTCAAAAGATCTCAAAAGCATCATCTCAACCTCAGAATCTCCCATCGCCCTCCCCTTTTGCACTCGCAACGAAATCAGCTTCGCATTCGCCACTCGTCTTTCGCAACTCCAACCTGAAAGAAGGAGGCCGGGGACCCAAATAGTCAAAAGTACCACGGTTTTATGACACTTGTCAAGCAGCAGTGCCATGATGAGGGCGTGCTGGCTTCGAACAGCGCGCAAGCTCAAGCAAAGACCGTGCTTTTGCTCACGACTTCGTTGTTTTCCAGCAACATTCTCGAATTAGCGCATTCGTGGTTGAACCCGAAAAACCCATAGAATTTCCACGCTTTGCCACGCTTTACTACGGGTTCTCCACGGTTTAGCTACGGGTTAGAAAACACGATGTTTTCCAAAAACACGATGTTTTCGGTTGGGGCTGCGGGCTTTCTACGGGTTTCTACGGGTTTTCTATGGGTTTCTACGGGTTTTCTGCGGGTTTCTGCGGTTAGCCGCCAGGATCCCGCCCCATTTGCTAAAAAAAACTCAAAATTGATAAAAACAATCTCAAAAGTGTCACCTGGTCTTGTTTTGCACCAAAAGGAGCTTTCGGATTCCAGCACCCCCTTCAAACTGGTTCGGTATGACCTGGCGCCAGTCTTCAGGTGCCTGTTGCTGTGAAAGGTACTTCAAGACTGAAGCCAGCTGCACACCCTGGCTGTCAGGCTCATCAATGTGGTCCTTAGAATTTGAAGCATACTCAGTATAGAGCGTTGCCCTCAGTTGAAATCTTAATGGGTGATGTCTGTGTGAATCCACTCCCGACCCTTGCCTTTGACCCTTTGCTCCAAATGAGTGTTTGGCCTCAGAAGCCCATTTTTAAGTGGTTTTATCAAAAACACGATGTTTTTCCTGAAAACACGATGTTTTCAGAAAATCGAGAAAAAACACGATGTTTTAGTCAGGGTACGACATTTTTACAGGTTCTTGAAGCCCTAGGTAGAGGAGAAAAAAAACAACAACAAAAAACAAGAGGTTCGGGTAACTGCCATGGGTCGGACCTCATTTTTTGGGGGGGGGCCGAATTGAAACTCCGTCGATGCTTCGAACCCTCAGATGTGCCGACGTACTTTCTCCCACCGCGAAAAAAATGGGTTGTCTAAATAGGAATCGGAACCCCCCACATTGTGACTTCCTTTTGGTTTCCCTTTGAACCAAAAGGTGGTTTCCTAACAAAAGGCACATCCAAATGGGCTCCCATGTTCTCACGCACCGCGAATGGGTTCCCACCTTCCTGTGGAAGGCACAACTTTGAGCATTTGCCCCTGAAGCTTGCCATACAGCACGGCCTCGACAAGTAGAATGCCCAAACTAGCGAAGGCCCTTTTGCTTTTTTTTCCGAACCCGAGCGGCAGCTATGGATCTTAGCCTGGCTTTGGCAGAACAATCGTGAAGTTACTTTACATCTCTTGTTGGGCTTTCTTTCGGGATTGAACATTGCTGCAGTTTGGCACGCTGGGAAAAGTGACAGGCTTGCTTTTGAGCAGACTTAAGTTTGACTGGATGTGTCATGTTTAGTTCTGCAAGCCTTGCCAAAAAGGCCGAACCTTTTTGAACAAACAAAACGTGGACCGCCGCTTCAGGAGTAAGATAGGATACCGCCCTGACAAGGCCTTGCCTACCCTCTATCACCCTCCCACACTTCCATGTTAGTGATAGGCATCATTTCCCTCACCCGTGGCTTTTTGGTCTTTGATGCTCGTTGTTGTGGTTGTTTTGTTGTCTTTTCCCCGGGTTCTTTGCTCGTTTTCCAGGCCTGCAACATGTGCAGCGACATGCTGGCTGGCACACGCTGGAGCATGAGCGTCGTGCCATCCAAACTCTTGGGGCACGATGCGTCCATGCGTTCCAGCCGCCGGACGGCTGGCCAGCTGCCAGCTGCTGGCCGAACCCACGCACCCCAACTCAAGGCTTGTCAAGGCTTGTCCACTTGAGCCAGTCAGGCTTTCCGTGGCTCGTGCGACTCAAGTCGCTTCTCACTTCCGTGAATAGGCAAGGCCAATGCGTTTTTTATCCAGCACTCAGATGGCCTCGCAAATTTCAAGTCCAGGAATTCATGGAGTAAGGCGTTCAAGAGGATAGCCGGATCAACAAGCATGGCCTTGAAGGAGAACCCCAGAGACCAGAGGATGCTCAGACATGAAAGAACCATATGGGCCCAGACTTGTTTGCCAGTAAAAAATGTTTAACGTCTAGAAGCTGAGAAACTAAATATAACAAGTGGTTGGCCTTGTCAGAATGACTTTGGCTACGGCTCTGGCTGGACACGCGCGAGAACATATACGGCGTCCATAGTTGAAGAGGTTAAGACCAGTGTCGCCCGAAGCCACACATCCAAATTACAGTACAGTAGACTGCACTAATTCCATGATACGGGAAAGTCAAGGGGATCACTCAACCAAAATGACGACATTGCCATCTGCGTTCACTCAAGTGTAGGCTTTGAGCAAAGAGCAAACCAGCCTATTCCTGGTTGCATTGGGGATTAGGCTTTGCTCTGGGACCGGTGGGACAAGCTTGGCGAACGTGCACCAGTAGTACGTATTTTTCAACACTAAAAGGGGCTTCAACACAGATTCCCCAAACCTACTGGGATTGATTTGTCTAAATGGGAGACAAAGGACAAGCAACTGCGCGGATATTGGTTGCTAGACTGATCCGTAGGCTTTCGTCAGTTGCTGACCCAACTTCAGCTCACATGTCCCCAATCTGCCAAGTAACCAGGGAGCCAAATGGATGAGTGACTCGGGTGTAGCCGTTTGGGCTGTTTAGCTGAGGTCTGACAATGCCCCCCGCTTGAGAAGGAAATCCAAATGAAGTACCAGTCCCTCATCAACTCACTTGGCCAAGGCACCGGGGAATGAAGCAACAGTATCCGTTGGATCCGAATAAAGGAGCCAACAAGGAAGGGTTCCTAAAAACAAACTGCCGATAATCCTAAGCGTAGTTTATTCACGTTTTAGTCGCCCTTTTCCATAGCCAAGGTATTCGGAGTACTCCCAGTTTGGGATTCTGCACCTCATCCCCACTCGACTACTTTTCTCTTGCGAGCGCGGTGGATGTCTGCTGAACCTAAAAAGGAAGTGGGCAACCGACACAATCCCCGCCTTTGGCAATCGGGCTGCATGAAGCTTGGATCACTTGCTTGCTTCCTTGGTTTGAAACGCCAAAGAAAGGGTTTCGGCCACCGGTGCCCAACTTCGAGCGCGCGGAAACTGGGCCGCACCTGCTCGGCGCGGCGCCAACTCCGTGCAAACGGACGAGCCTCACATCGAAGGGGGCACCGTAGTAACACTGTTGAACACGAAGGGCGAGGTGTCTTGATTCTCGAAGTTGGGCCAACGTGGGGCCGGCTCCATCCCGATCTATTCGAACAGTGCCCTTTGAAGAAACCCATTTCTACATCAGCTGCCGTCAACTAAAAACAGACCATACATATTCATATATACATATATATGTATATACATTATGAGCCATGTTTTGTTGGTAAACCTCCCTTTCTTACTCGGCCGCAAAAGGAGTGTTTTACTCCGCATGGCGCTGCGCCCGTCCGAATTCCCGACATGCAGCGAACCATTTCAGCATTTCCGTCTCAGTGATGTCATGCTCACCTTCCACCATACCCCAGCCTCAGCGCAGCGTTGGGGCTTGACAGAATTCTCCCTGCTGTTTTGTCGCTTGTCTTTTGAGCTGTCCGCCGCCTCTGTTTCTAACCAGCGCGGCTGCGGTGTCAATCCGCCGATAGGTTCCTAAAAGCGTTCGGGAAAGGCTCTTTGAGCTGGTTGTGGCTCCTATCAGGGTTGGGGTGTCAGGTTCTGTGTCAACATCCCTTTCACATCCCCAGGGCCAATTACATGTCCGGCAGATGTGGAGATCACATGGCTGTGGGTCAAACATAGGTACCCAAAATGGAACCCTGGCAAATGCAAACATGGACTAAAACCTGCAGTTCCCTGTTGGTTTAACTTTTGCGAAAGGGTTTGAAACAGAGTTTCGGGATGGATAAAACAGGCCCTAACCCACCAACAAGAAGAGACCACCTTATCCCCCCAGTCCCAAGGGCAAAGCGGTTGCCCTCGGCTGGCCAAACACGAACCAAAACAGGGTGCCAGTTGTAACAAGGTAAAGAAGCCCAGCAAGGGCAGAGACAACCAATAGCAAGCACAAAGCAGCAAACCAAGCAGGCAAACAATGCAGCGAAGCGAAGCGAGCAAAGCAAACCAAATGCGCACCGTTCCCAATCCCAAGTCCTGACCAACCACCAGCAACACCACCACCGACCACGGAAAGCCGCAGCACCTTTTGCTGCAGATTTCCAGGTCGCCGTGATGAGGCGCCGACGTGATTGCAAGCAGAGTTGCCGGAACGAAAAAGCTTGAGCCAAACGGCGCATTGGCCGTGGCGTTGAAACATGTTGCGATAAAACTACATGCCCCCAAAAACACCCCCCTCGCCTGTACAAAGAGAAGGAGTGAATTTGGAAAGGCGCATTGGCCATGTTGAAGTTGAAATGCAACAAACAAGACAAACAAAGCCGATTAGGCTACCAGGGTTCGCGACCCCATACCCGGGCACTCATTGGTGCCCGGATCCCGCCACCACCCCGAATTACGGGTATGAGGCGGATTCGCGCCGGTAGCCAAATCAAACAAGAGAAAGCAAAACGAAACAGAAACAAAGATTCAACTCCAAGATGGCAGGCATGAAATACATGTGATGCAACCACATTGAATCATTAGATTCACGTGGATTTAGGGCTTGAATTATATTGTCAAAAGCGCATTGGCTTGCTGGTTGAAACGTGGTGCAAAGACCGAAATATCTCGGCCTTGAACGACACCGTCTAGGCGCGCGATCACTCGAAAACAACCTCCAGGAATACCGCCAGCGGCATTCGGCGGTTCAGGACCGAGTAGGACCTCACCGGCAGCGGTGCGGGGCATCCGTGATCCTCACCCCAGCACCTTGATGAGCTCCATCACCAGCAGCAGCAGCGGTGCAGGAGGATGCAGATCACCAGCGGCCATAGACGCCGCCGAGAGTGACTGCCTTGCTGTGGCGACGCACACCTGACAGGTAATCGCAGCTTGCGCGAATAGCGCACAGCCACACATGCAGATGAATTCTCAAATGGCGAATAGCCCAGACAACGAAATACGACAAGGAGCATAGTCCATCTTGTGAATTCCGATATGAAAGCATGCGCGCGTTGGCGCAGCCATGCAAAACACACAGACAGACATCAGGTATTACCGATGTCGTCCGCCGCCGTGCCGTCCCTTCCCCTTGTTGACATTCCAGTCCCCAGGGGGAGGAGGCACTGTCTCAGCCAACTCGTCATCGTCACCCCAGGTAGGGGTATGCGGCGAGCTCGGATTCTCGAACTCGAGGGGATCACCCTGCATATGCGGCTGCCAACCCTGCGGCATTGCGCCAGGCCACATTTGTGGCATCATGCCAGCCATGGGCTGTTGCATGTATCCTCCCATTGGGAAAGTGGGATACATCGGACTCGGGAACGGGAAAGGGGCAGCCTGTGCACCCTTGTACCCCGACCCGCGAGCATCAGGCTGATACCCGCCAGTGGGAGTTCTCGACCTGGCGGATCCGCCTCGACCGAACTGGCTCTGTTGGTAGCCGTATTGGCCACCCTTGCCTTTGTACTGATCACCCTTGTGACCCTTGCCTGAAAACTGGTCACCTTTGTGACCCTTGCCGGAGGACTGGTCACCCTTGTGACCTCCACCCTTGGGCCAGGAGTGCGCAGGGGCTTTGCCCTTTTGCTGATCCCCCTTTGCCCTGGAATCAGGTCGCGGGGTAGCAGACCGATGATCTCCCCTAGGAGTGGCTGCCCGCCTATGGTGCTTCCCAGTCGGCGGGTCAGCAAAAACAATGGCGCTTTGGCCGTCGCGCTGTGCAGCGGGGACCATGTCAACCTTATTATTTTCGACATAAATGTATGCCTCGGCATACTCAATCGGGGCCGTGATGGATCCACCACCGGCCCGCAGAGAGTCGATACTCAAATCGAGAACTGTGGAGGCATCAAAACTTGGGTCCTCACTATTGAAGTCCGAGAGGCGTCGCTCAGCCTGTACCAATGACATTATGATGTCCGCACGTGAGGCGCCTAGGCCATACAGCGGAACCAAATATCCGTCCTCAATTCCGATGCGGTAGGCATCAAAAATATGCACAGAGAGGTAAAGAGCAAATGCTGAATTTAGACTGCCCTTTCTCGTCATATGACGACCCCATTGCGCCGCCTGTTGCGGGTGCTCGACCAAATATGTCATGACAGACATATTGTCGGGAATTGGGACGCCAGCGTTGCTCTCCTCGATGAGCAGCTGTTTCGCTACCCACCGCTCGAGAGCCTCGTCACTCGCACGCACACAAGCGTGAGTGTCCTTTGAGGTGACTTTCACAACCTCCTGAAACGCAACCTGCACGGTATCCGCATTGGGATTGTGCACAAGATGAGGCGCACAGCGCAAACCGGAGATCATACAGCTGACCACCTCGCGGATCGGGTTTACCGACGCCATGAGAGGAGCCCACACGTCAGTCTCCCCTTCATACCAGCTGTTGGCACGGACTGCCTTGAGTCCGTCCAGCCAAACTGGCTGCCCTCTCCTAACTTGGGAGCGGATGGTGCCTGGCACCCACTCTCGATAGAAAATCGGCAAATGGCAACCATTGCATAGAATGGTGCCATACATATTCAAATGCGCGCACCGAGGGCACCAATAGTCATGCATGGGAGCCTTGTCCCATGAAAATGACACCCCTCTCCGCGGTCCCTGGACATTCAATTCTCGGACCGCCCAGGGACGGATGTATATTACATCCCCTTCCTGGTGCAGATAACATGCGCGCCAGAAGGGCGCATGTATCTCCTCTCGCACAGCAATCAAACCGCGTCGGGTTTTATAGATGCCGGCGGCTTCCTCGATGGCCATCCACTTTAGGTCAACGGCCACAACGACATGGCGCTTGTCCATGTATTTGACGCGATCGTCAACATAAAATTCGCCCTCATTATTGGGGCTTGGCAACTTGAGGAGAGGCACCTTTGCGCCCTCCAACCCAATCATGATCTCCCCCCTGCAGACCTGCTCAGGTCGCATGGGGAAAACTGTGATGGCGAATTTGCAAAGGCCCCAGGCGCACAGTCGTGCCATCTCCCCTCCAGACTGTCCGTATTAGGAGCTCGACTGGAGGGTACGCTGGGCTCTCCTTCGCGAGAGAACCCGCCCAGGTCGCCACCTCGACACTCGTGCACTTATGGATCCCGTATAGGGCCTCAAAGAGCGCTGAGATTAGAGTCATCGACATCCAACCTCCCAGAATGTCTGGAACCGTCCCACACAAGAAGGGAGCCGGCTCACCGGGCTTCACGTTCAACCGCGTTGGGTCAGTGTTGCCCGACAAAATTTCTAGCAGCATTTGCGACTCCCTGGAGCTTTGCCCAAGCATCGCCGACGTATCCTTAATCTCGGGGAAAAAATGGAAGATGTCGTTACCGGCAGGACAGGCGATTCTGCCTGCTGTCCCGCTCTGTACATCAAACACGACCTCTTCACCCTCGTATGTGAGGTTGTAGGTGCTCGCAATCGGGCACACATCGGGCTTTGCCATCAGTGCATCCTCTAGCGACGCACCAGCAGGGAGGACGCCCTGTTCGTGCGCTTTGGCACCTATGGGACCAGTCTTCGCTGACATAAGCCGATAATTTTCGGCACGAACGTATGGAAATAGGTTTTTCATCCTCTCAATTTCCTCTTCTGCGGTGCGCCACGCCTTTGCCTCATAGTAGGGCGGCTCCTGCTTTGAGGGCACTAGGTCGCGGTCGCCCATTGATGAGAACTTGTCCACATATGGGCCATCCCATCATCATCTACGTGACCCTCGTGATCCTCATCCGAGACGTACTCCCTGGGCGGCTCGCCCAGAGCGTCCAGATCGACCTTACCAAGGTCGACCAACGCCGGAGAATCCAGGATTCTCTGGATCCTCATGAGCTCGTTTCTGAACTGCTCAAAGCCTCCGGGCTTTCCAGTTACGGCGGTCGGCATTGCGCCCTCCCATGAGTCTGGAAACATGCACACATTCGTAGGGGAATACTCGTCATCGGAAATATCCCGATCACGCTCCCGTACATCGCTGATCAGTGTCACATCCAACAAGCCGCTTAGGGCCTCAGGACGCGACGCTTTCGCCGGATGCGGCTTTGCGCTCTTTGACGCTACAGCAGCCTCTTTGGTTGCTTTGTTCTTCTTCTCATCGCCCTTACTCCCCTCTCTATCCACATCCATCGCGGACGGCTGTGCGCTCCCCTCCGTCCCGCCCATTGGCGGTTCAGGGGGTTGGACAGGGGACTCCTTCGTGCGGGCTTTGCCGAAATACTGTCCTGGGATCTGCACGCTCCCAGTGGAGCCACCGCCAGTCTCTCTTGGACGCTTGGCGGTGTGAGCCGACCCAGTATGTACAGCAGGAGCCGATCGCCTAGGAAGGCCCTTACTGACCGACAGAGATGGAGGAGGTGGCTTCACCTTGGGAGCCGGCTCCGCCTTGGGCGCCGGTTCCGGATCAATTACGCAGGACCTGAGGTCGAAACTTTCTGACC